ATTTTACTATTTATTTTTGTTGTATAAATAGGTTTATGCTAGAAATACATATAAATATAAGTAAAATTAGTACTAGTATTGCTATGGTTAAATCTTATAGATGACCATTCATAAACATGTCTCCTAGCTTTATACCGGCATGTCGGTAGGGTATCATGAAGCCATTTTTTAAATGATCAGCCTCATTTATAACGGCATGCCGGTGTTTGCGCGGGAATACGGTATCTTTAAAATATTTAAATATTTTCGAATTGTCTTTTCATATTTTACCTGGAGCAATTATATGTGAGATATAAATAACTATTTAAACTTATTTTATTTAGATTTATATCAACATCAATAAGACGGTTAAATTATCGAATAAATCCAAAACTTTAAGCTCAAAATCAAAAGTGAAACAGGTCAATGTTATTGACAATTATGAAGATTTAATAAATTTTGAACAAGATTATTTATGGCTACAAACAGGAGCTGAAAATGATTATTATATAAAGTACGATTTAAATGTTGATAAGGATATTGGTGAATTTATTAATCAAGTCACAGAATTTATTGATTGTAAAAGGGAACGTGACTTATAAATGACCTTTCTTAATAATTTAAAAACTAAACCAATTTGCATTAAGTTTTTACTTTTAAAATAAAATTTATTGATTATTGAATGTGAATTTAAAATATTTTTATTTTATAGTATTATATGAAAATATATCATTGATTATTTAGCATAAATCAATTTACTATTAATCATGATTATTACAAAATATTTTGTGTAGATTTAGCATTCACAGCGCAATATTGTATCTTGGTATTAACAGCAACATCTATATCATGTGTCCCGGTTGATAGCTCGCTGATATTTCGAAACACACCAAGCTTATTTATAGCGTATGTGTTCTGTAATAAAACAAATTATAATTACTTTTACAATTTAATTAATAATTAATATTATATAACACTTACCCTGCTAAACACATAGCAGTTGTCATTGAAAGTGTCCACAAGTTTCTTATAACAGTTCCTATTATTGAGCTCTAGTTTGCCATTCAATGCGATATTGGCGTCAATTGCCGGCAATTCATTCACGTATTCCTCGATCTGTTTGTCCAACAATTGTCTCGCGTTTAATAAGCCCTTCAATTGTTGCACGTATTGTAACTTTTCCATGGTGAAATTATTATGTACCTTTATATATAATATTCGTATTGGGTCGCGATAAGTTCCTAGGCCAAATCGTTGTGTTCGCTGTTATCGAGCCAGGTAACCGCAAAAAATACAGCTAAAAATATAACATTGTTTATTAATTAACAAAGTTACAGACAAAGTTTACTAATTTAATTATAAATTTAAAAATAATATTATACCTAGACACGTGTTAAGATTAGTATGGTTACTTTCGGCTTTCCAACCTAATTCACCAGGCAATGTTGCTATCAATGCGTACACATTGATATCCGTGGCAATAGTTTGGCAAACATTGAGCCTTGATTATTAATAATAAATTTTTTTAGTAATACAGTATGTTTAGTAAACACAACATGTCCTGTTTTTTTGTAAACACGAATTTATTGGTAAACAAAATAATGAATTTTATAACATATAAACACAATCATTAATGATACAATATTTATGTACAAATAAATAATTAGAAATGTTTTTACGAACAAGTTAATTGAACTATTATAGATTATTTTTACTATAAAAAATTATTTTTAAAAAATATTATTTTTAAATGACAAAAATTATAAGACAAAGTAAATATTTTTATCAAGTTTAACTAATTTATATTTAATTATTTACGATGATAGATTATTAAATAATTAAATTCAAATTATATAATACTAAATGAATTAAAAATAATTTAATGAGATAATAGCCTAATAAATTATTAAGCTACGTACAATTAGTTATGTCCAGTATTATTGTAATATAATAATATTTAATTTTTAAAAAAATTACAATTATTATGAAATATTTAATTATAAATTAACATTATTGTGTCAATTAATAAAAATCAGTGTATTGATAATGATAATTTAAAAATATACGCAATCTCAACAAACAATACGAGCGATCCTGCTAAAATGCAATAAATTAAAATATAAACAATTTGTTGAATATATTGCGAGGTAACGGCTCGTATTTTGAAATACTCGTAAAATACAGGTCCGATTATGGGGTGCCCTCTAGATAACCACTGTTGTCAATAACTTTATAATAAAAGTTAAATGCAAAGTCACCATATAGTTTATCCCAGTATTGTATCAATGACGTTTCATATAGCCGTTGAGATCTAAAATACAAATTTAACAAGATTTTAATAATTGTACTAGATTAATAAATGGAAGTAGTGTTAAATTCTATTTATAAATACGTACAATTTATGAGCTGTATCAATATATTTAAAATGGGGACCATAACATAGCGTTGTAATAGGAAATAGCAATGTAGGCTCACCAATATTTTCCAAATAAAATTTTTGCTTAATAATATTTGTATAAATAACATAAATAAAATATTAAATATATTTTACAAATACATATTATAGCAAATAATAGTTTAAAAGTAATACCTTACCACTCACCTATAAAATAGTAATATAAATATAAAATAACTTTATTTTTATTTTATAATACTAGTACAGTATAAGCCTGTTATGTACCTAATGCACCTAAGATCACTATAATCCGGTTATGTATCAAGAACAATTGGGTCATAATGAGATTATAAAGTGCATTTGTCATAAACAAGTGCATAAAGGTACAAATGACAAATATAAAAATCATTTCTATATAATTTTAACATTACTAATTTTATAAGTTCAAAATTTTTTAACTTCTATGAACTGCAAAAAATAAAGTTTTTAAGATTAAAGAATATAAATATATTTTTGTACCATGATTATAAGAACAAAGTGATTATGATGAATGTTTATCAAAATATATTACATAGTATTATTGGATTTTACAAATAGTTTGGTGCATATGATAAAATAGTTTATTTCTATGAAAAAAATAGTTTGATTACTAAAAAAACTATAAAAACATTATGCTAGTTTGTTAATTGTAAAAATAACTAATTTCAATTTGTCCATTATACCATATATATAATAAATTTAAGTTATTTTATTTAATATATTTTGCATAGTTGTTAATACTTGTTAACTCATTAATTAAGTGAACCATGTCAAATTTAAAATGCTGTATCTGCAATGATAATGCAAGAGGTAAATGTTATTTTATATACCATTTTTGGTGAAAGTAAATATTTAAAAAAATATATACTCTATAAATAGGTGTGAATTACGGTGCGATAACATGCTTGTCGTGTAAAATATTTTTCGTCAGGAATGCTAACAAATATAACGTGAGCAAGGACATTTATTTGATGTAAATAAGTTGTTTTAAATTTAAGAATTTTTAGAAATTAAAGTGTTTTTTCAGTGGAAACTGTAAAATAGAAGTTAATTCACGCAAAACGTGCCCCAAATGTAGACTTAATATGTGCTATAAGTTGGGAATGAAAAAGGTTAGCCTAATATTTATTATTTTTAACACGGTTAATTTGAAAATCTATTTTAATATAACTTTAAAATATTTAAATATTTTCGAATAGTCTTTTCATATTTTACCTGGAGCAATTACATATGCGATAAATAATCACCAATTAAACTTATTTTATTTAGAATTATATCAACATCAATAGAAAAGTTAAATTATCAAGCAAACTCATAACATTAACCCCACAATCAAAAGTGAAACTGGTAAATCTACTGGACAATTATGATGACTTAATAAATTTTGAACAAGATTATTTATGGGAACAAACAGAAACTGTAAATGATTATTATTATATAAAATACGATTTAAATGCTGATAAAGACATTGGTGAATTTATCAATCAAGTCACAGAATTTATTGATTGTAAAAGTGAACGGGACTTATAACTGACTATGGGGCGTCACTCGCTGTCCAACTCTTAGTTAATTAAAATATACATGATTATATAGGTTAAGCATGTTAAATTAAAAATATCGGGGTCCGATAATCTATGGGAAGGTGGTATGAGCATAATCCAGTGGTCAAGTTTGCGATATTTGTATAACGCTCTATACAAACTCAATTGACATTTGATGTGAATTTATGCATTATTTTTAAGACTCATTTTTATGGTATTCATAATGTAAAAAAGTAAATAATGAATATAAAATCTTTGAAAATTATGCGATTATCGGAAACTTGACAACTGGATTATGCAATTATGAAGACTTAATAAATTATGAACAAGATTATTTAAGGCAACAAACAGGAACTGAAAATGATTATTATATAAAATACGATTTAAATGCTGATAAGGATATTGGTGAATTTATCAATCAAGTCACAGAATTTATTGATTGTAAAAGGGAACGGGACTTATAAATGAGCTTTCTTAATAATTTTAAAAACTAAAACAATTTGCATTCATTACTAACTTTTAAAATAAAATATATTGATTATTGAATTTGCATTTAAAATATTTTTATTTTATAATATAACATTAAAATATATTAATTGATTATTTAGCATAAAGAATAAATCAATTTACTATTCATCATTATTATTACAAAATGTTTTGTGTAGATTTAACATTCACAGCGCAATATTGTATCATGGTATTAACAGCAACATCTACATCATGTGTCCCGGTTGATAGCTCACAGATATTTCTAAACACACCAAGCTTATTTATAGCGTATGTGTTCTATTATATAATAAAAACAAATTATAATTACTTTTTACAATTTAATTCAATTTAATTAATAATTACTATTATATAACACTTACTCTACTAAACACATAGCAGTGATCATTGAAAGTGTTAACCAATTGTTTATAACAGTCTCTGTTATTGAGCTCTAGTTTGCCATTCAATGCGATATTGGCGTCAATTGCCGGCAATTCATTCACGTATTCCGCGATCTGTTTGTCCAACAATTGTCTCCCGTTTAATAAACTCTGTAATTGCTGGACATATTGTAACTTTTCATCAATGTCATTTGTGATCTTAATTTTATGCTGCAAACGGTACAACTCCGAGTCACGAATTGGTGCCATACCACTGGGTTTATATGGCACGTGTTTGCTATTAACTGGCACCTTTTTTTCACCTGAATAAATTACAATACATAGAATTTATAGCAATTGTAACATGTTAAATTAATTTATAAATACCCATATAATTAGACACATGCTGTTTGGTGGCAATAGATAAATCGCCGTATTGTTGAGCGTGCTGACTATAGTTACTGCCATCCATGGTGAAATTATTATGTATCTTTATGTATTCGTATTGGGTCGCGATAAGTTCCTTGGTCAAATCGTTGTGTTCGCTGTCATCGAGCCAGGTAACCGCAAAAAATACAGCTATAAAAATAACATTATTCATTAATAAACAAAGTTTTATTACAAGGCTTATTAATTTAATTATAAATTTCAAAATAATATTATACCTAGATACGTGTTAAGATTAGTATGGTCACTTTCGGCTTTCCAGCCTAATTCACCAGGCAATGTTGCAGTCAATGCGTACACATTGATATCCGTGGGCAATAGTTTGGCAAACATTGAGCCTAGATTATAATTAATATTTTATTTTAGTAATCCAGTATGTTTATGGTAAATTAAATAATTTATATACATACCAGCTTCGCAAGCAGCCAGATAAAATACTAGCTGGGAGAATTTGTTTTCTTTATGCATGTCTATGAGCACATTATTCAGATCCTTAGCGAGCAATGTAGTTGTTGGGAAAAATACGACCTCTGTTAATTAATTTATAAATATTAACTTTAAATAATGATTTATCAGTGTAATTTATATATAAGTAACATGTACAATTACTAGTGTTACATGAATTACAAAATGAAATAATTTGAATAACATTGAACTCAATTAAAATGATCATTATTAATAGCTGGAGCTGACATATTATATTAAATAATTTTAAATCTCCCATTGCTTACCATCACCACCATGGTCATCTAAGTAGACAAATATACGATCGTTGGGTCCACTCTTGACTACCTTTTTGCCCCCTTTCTCTAATTTTTCGTCACCTTTAAGAATACCCAAGAAGTTCTGGAAATTAAAATATACGATGGTTAAAATAAAAATATAAACTAGTTACAATACTATTAGTTACCTCAGGGGTGACATCTTTGCCGATGTAGTGTTTGGGCACTTCATACGGGGTTTTGTAGACATCTTTACCGCCGACTCGGTTGATGACTACACCGGGGGTCGGGTTTTTCGAACTGTGAGCGATATCATCGGAATGCATAACAATTATGTTTTCGTCGGGTATTCCGTGTTGACGAACCACTTGGTAGGCGTGGTATACGTCCGCCTTTAGGGTATCCAAAAATATATTCAAGTTTTTAAATTATACTTTTTATCTATGAAATCGTTTTATTAAATCTAGTGCTGAAACAGTTTGACTAATTAATGCATGACTCACAACACTAGGTTTTAAATTCCCAATTAGAAATATAAACACTCTATGATTTATAATGATAAACTACAAATTAATTTCATGAATGATTTTGTTAAAGTGTTTTAACACTAGCTAGATCACTTCGCACAGAGTGGCACTATATACTAGTTATACCGTATATTAGCATTATATACTAGTTCCTGGTATGACTTTAAACATAAATGACTAGTTGTATCATTTCATTTAATTTAGTGCGTGATACAACATTGTAATTTATTGATAAACTAAAAGTATACAATATGATTTTCATAATATGTTTATATGTTTGTTATCATCAGATAGGTTAGATAGATATGTGAAAGGTCATACCTCCATGCCATAGTTTATCCAGCCCTCTGAACTAGCAGCCAATACCACCCAGGTCTTTCCCACATGGGGTTCCCGTAATTTGTCTAGAAATGGGACCGCATTTACGGTAATGAATAATAACGAAAACACTGCAAATACTTTCATGTTGTCACTTTATAATTAACTAATACTGCTAATAATAACGAGCATTGTCTATTTATACAGATTTTCAAGTTTTATATATAATACTTAACTTTACTTTGATAATGATGACTTAAGTGAGCCTGAAACCATAGTTTGTTGATAGTATAATACCATTGTTTAAACATAATGTGCATGTGATATTATATCATGTAATAACTTATTTTTACAATTGCTTTAAAAAAGTATATATGCTATATGGAATATTATCTAGATCAATAGTTCTCAAGTGCCAAATATATATCAAATTGTAGTACACTGGCAATGAACTAGAAAACTCTACGCTATCGATCCTGATAATATTTATATAATAACATTAGACAAAGGAAACTGTGTGGGGCCTATGGCACAGGTATGTTGTCATTCACATAATACGATAACAATTTTCTTATGAATTGTTTTCAAATGTTAAGTGAATTTTGATTTCTAGTTCACTGTGCAATAAACGGTTTAAAAGTTTTTTAATTAAAGAAATATTTATTATAAATTTAGCTAACACAATTATTGTGAAGTAATAATTTATTTTATAATCAATATGGACATATTTACTGTACTTACATTTAACCAACAATGTAATAGATAACACAATAATATTAGTGTTGATAGATTATACAATATATTGTATCGATATGATACCTAAATTACTAGTTAAACAAAACTGTTTTATTATATGAATTTTACTGTTAGTATTAATAATAATATTATTTTTATAACTTGAGCAAACTAAAATACTCAATATTAAATATGGAAAATTCATTAATGGATCAATGTGTAATTTTGTATTGTAGATTTTACTTTATATTGATTAAAATTACATGATAATATATCTTGAGTATATGTATAGACCAATACTAATTAACGTAAATTTGAAAAGTTTAAAATACTTTCTAAATAAATTGAATTAAAATGATAATAAATTATTATTAATAATTCCATATTATTAACATTTAATTTAAATTATTTAATTAAGTTTAATTTGAAAAAATATTTTTTACATACAATATAAATATAAGTGTAAAATTTATATATAAATTTAATTATTGGATATGTAAATTGGGTATGTATTTGTAAAAATTAAATATCTTAAAAATCAATAATATATACTATTATCAATATACTTTATAATATACAATATTATAATATAATATAAAACTATAATATTCATTAATAATCTATTAGATTTTAACCCAATATTATATTGAAATCAGATTAAATGGCATTCAAACACACTTTGAAAACACTTTGTTTCACATTAGAGTAGAGCTAAAACGGCGTTTCTCGCGGGACTACCACTTCTTCCTGTGGTAATCCACTGACAGATCTCCCGGTCCTAAGTGTACGATCATTAAGAGGTCGCCGGTGACGGACAGCTTCAGGAAAAAGTTCATTATCACGAGATAATAGTATAATATTTTATTTCTATTTTATTTCGTTAATATAATTATTTGTTTTTATTTGTTTCTATTATTAGTTATCAAATGTATTGAAATATACAAATTGGATTAATATTGAGAATTTTCATTTATTAATATTATTTGTATTCTATTAAATTAATTAATTTTATGTAAATAATATGTTATTTTCTAATTTCATCATTGACAAATAATAATATTTTTAATTATTTTCCTTAGTATTAATTGTTTTATTAGGTTCTAAAACATTATTTATGTCAAGCTGAAAATAAATATTTTAAATATATCTTTAATAATAATAATAATTAAAATTTTATAAATATTAATCATTTAATTAAAATAAAAGTGCTTAATCATATTATTAGTCATATTTTACACAATATTATGTTAAAAGTCTATTATAAAATATTACTAATATATCTACAGTCTGTTTACTATCATACAAACCATGGTTTTAACAGACAAATTATTTATTTGATAATACAAATAGAGAGATAATTAAAGTTTATTTATAAAACATTTATATAAACAGTATTATTTAGATAAAATGAATTAATTAATTGAACTATGTTATTTATATTCTATTGAATATTCTGATGATATCAAGTATTATAGTTTAAGTTAAAACAATATATTGCAAAATGGCAATTGTGAATAATGAAATGTGGACTAATTTTATTACCATGAGCATAAAATTAATGAAACTAATAAAGTTTAAGAGTTTATATTATGTATTATCGTATGCGTTATGTTTAACGGGATGTCTGTACCAAACGTATAAATTAAGTGAACTATACTTTTCATACGAAACCACTACTAATGTTAAATACGTGTCAAATCATATGAACATTACTTACACAGCCATCACATTTTGCGCGTTAAAATCGTTGCTAATTAAACCTGAAACCAGTGAATTTGTCAATGATAAATATACTATCAGGCAACAATTTGCTTTAATAGATAAAATATTAAATAAAAGTATTAGCTGCCATATGTTGGCAACTATTAATAGTAAACGTAAGTCATGTCCGTTATATATAATGGCAATTGAATCCATTAGTGATGATCATCATTGTATGACTATAAGTCCCATGAGGGGTATCATTACATTTTCACCTAGAGCACCGCAATTTGTACTTTCTTTCAACACAATGTTTGCCAACCCTAGTTATGTCCCTTATGCATTTTTCATTCACCCGGCTGCTCAGAGAATTGTGCAAGCTAATCAAGATGGTAAAAACATGCACATGGCAATTAACAGGAATATTATTAGTTATGAATTCAAACGGACAATTGTTAAATATAACACTGGTAGTACTAGGCAGCGTTGTATTGATGAGGGTAAAACGCGCATTGAATGTCAAAGTGATTGTGTTATTTTAATGCAATTTAAATATAATCGATCTATAACTGATCATTATCAATATTATAGATATGACAACCAATTTGATGGTTATATGAAAGGTGATTTATATTTTAAAACATTGTCCAATTACCAATTTGAACGCATTTGTTTCGATGAATGTAATGATAGAGTGGAGTGTATTAAGAATTACTATACAGTCGTTAAAACTGTTGCACAAAATGCAACGAAATATGTGTTAGAATTTAAGGTTAACTTTCCTATTGAGCCGACAGTCGTATACGAGAAATCACTGAAAATGTCTTTCGAGGAGTACTTTGTATTCATCGGCGGTTTGTTTGGCATTTGGTTTGGATTTTCTATTTTAATGTTCACTCAATTATGCGCTCAAATGCTAATCAAATGTAAAATATTTATAACTAATAAATTTTGTGTCAATAATCTCAATCATATATCAATGAATGGCAACATTTTATTTGTCAATTATAAACGGAATAATATTAATCAAGGTAATCAATTACCATAATAATGTGTCAGATAATCCTTGCATATTTAAATAATACAATTGTTGTTTGTATTTTAAAATCAATTAATTTTAATTTTAATTAATTATTTTTGTCAAATAAAATATATTTATTATATATGGAAAAACTTATTTTATTTATTAAGTATATTTTAACACAATTTATATTGACATTAAGAAAATTATATTTATATAATAAATTTTTTTAATTATAATTAAATTCTGTCAGTACATAATACAAATAAAATTATAATTAGATATAAATTAATTTATCATTGGTAAATAGACTATAATTAATATAATACTTATATAAATACTTTCAGTTAGACATGCTTTCGTTTCAAAAAATATTAACATTTTGTTTGTCAAATATAACCGTGGTAAAATTAATAGATTTAATCGACCGCCTATCTCTAATTATATTTAATTATTTAAATAATATAAATCTTAAACTGAAATTTAAATATTTATAACTAATGTTGCAATTATAATTAATAATTAATTACTCTTAAAATTCAAATTTGAAATTATTTGAAATTATTTGAAATTATTCGCGTATAGTATCAGACGACAGAGAAATCGGTACTAAATTTTGGCATAACTTACATACTTACGACTGGTTTATGGAGAAGTCATTGGTGTGGGACTCGACTCAACCCATGTTTATCTATAGGGAGGAACCGGTGCTGACGCTCAACGATTACCTGTCATATACGGGTGGACTCATCAGTCTGTGGTTCGGAACCAATGGCAAGGATTTGATCATTTGGTTCATTGACACCAAACTCTGGATTTTGGTCTACAATAAAATTATTGCAATAATTTCACGATTTTATAAACATTAAAATCTTTACATAACTATGTTATATAATTACTACAGATTAAATACTAATTAAATTAGATTAATTGTACACATTAATTGTGATTATGTTATGTTCAACGGGATGTGTGTATCAAACGTATAAAATAAGTTTACAAATATTTTTAAAATACAAATAATATACTCACAAGTTTATATCAATTAAAAATCAATTATAATCTTTTTTACAATAATTCATAATTTAGTGCATAATTTTTAATCAGGGTATCCACGTGTAATAACAACGTATATGTGATATTTAATTTTAGTTTATTATTTAAAACATTATATAATATTGGCTTTAATTTGCGATAACATGTACTCTATTAGTGAAGTATTGGTGATATTTGCGTGAAAACCAAACGCATAGCAAATACAATGTCTGTATCAACCAAATGATAAAATCCTTGCCATTTGTGCCAAACCACAGACCAATCAGTCCTCCCGTGTATGACATATAGTCGGTAAACGTCAGCACCGGTTCCTCCCTATAGATAAACATGGGTTGAGTCGAGTCCCACACCAACGCATTCTCCGTAAACCGTATGTCGGGACTCGAGTTATGCCACAAATGGTTACCTATTTGTGTGTCACTCGACACCACTCTATACTTGTAGTCAACTGTCAGACAGTTTTTCGGACAAATATTTAAACATTTCGTATTCATAGCACTCGTATTCAATAACCTCTTATCAAACTCTGGTTTCGTATAATAAAAACACAACATTTGCGACGAATTGTCGTAAAAATCTAATTCATTA